GAGGCTGAGAGCAGAGGAGAGGAGAGGTTCTGGGTGGGGAATAATTAGGATTTGGGGGTGTGCTTGGAGTGTGGGGGTGTGATGTAGGGCTGGGGGGGGGGGGGAGGGTTATGGGGTGGGGAGGGTTGAAGTTGGGCTTGTGAGCCCTTTTGGTGCTTTGGTGCCCTTTTGCGAGCCTGGCTTGCCGACAGTCAGAGGGCGTTGCGGGGCTGTTCTCTGCTCTTTGTGCTCTTAGAGCCGTCCCCGTGTCCCCATCCTTTCCCCTTTCCTGCGTTGATTCCTCCCCTCTCATCCCACAGTACTTAACCAGGCGCATCCCTCAGAACCCCCGGTACCAACACATCAAAACCTGCCTCGATACCGGTGAGTGGCACCGTCAGCAGGCCTGAAAACTGCCCAGCAGAGGGGAGGGGAATAACAGGAATAGTTATGCTGAGCACCTCAGCTGCTTTACCCCAATCCTGTGCAGCAGGGTCAGATCTCACGTCGTAATTTGGATCCTTGTGATAGTTGCCTTGTTATTCATCAGTCAGGTTCTGATCTATGTACTCTCACAGAAGTTACCGAGCTTGGAGTCGCTATGTGTTGGCCTTTCTTCTATAAATTTATATATGACAAAAGTATAATTCACAGTCATTATTTGCTCAGAAGGGTCCCTTTTGAGCTTTTTGTACAGTTAAAGTGATTGGATTTTACCTGTTCACAGTGGTACCCCAAGGCAGTTTTGGGAAAAGGACAGCGTAACCACAGCTGCAGGTGATGGCCTCCTGAAGGCCATGGTGTTGTCCTCTGAAATCTCAACAGAACTGCTTTCTAGCAGAGAGGGATTGGTGTGGAGGTTGTATTTGGTGCCCCACGCTGAAAATCCCATGAAATAAAGCAGTTAAATGCATTCTGCAGAGGGATTTCCTTAGCACTGTGAGTGCACACCGAAGGTCTGAGCTCTTTTAGTTGTGACTATTGCCTGTGAGCTCCTGCATCCCCTACAGGGGCTTTTTACACCCTGCCTGTAGGTGCAGCAAAGCTTCAGCATGGCCATCCCTTCCTTCTGAAAGTTATTTAAGCCGTGATGAAAAGCACTGATTTGTAACAAGCGGTTTGGTTGCTGTTGTTGCAGGATGCAGTCTGACAAAATACATTGAGAAGCTGGAGGAAATCAAAAGAAGTGAGTACCTGGAGTGGGGCAGGATGTAACTGTGTGGGTTAGTTCCAAACCGAAGGAGCTCTGAGCAGCAGTGCTGAGCCCTCTTCTTGCTCAGAGATCTCCTCTCTGGCAGTGCCCACGGGAAGAAACTCCATAAACACACAGCAGCAGCATGAAGAAATACCCCAGTTCTCCTACTTTGCTTCTCTCATGAGCACCTTCCGCTTTTTCATGCCTCTTGACTGCTATTTTGGGGCTATAATTGGTGATTTAGGTTGGACCTAACAGCACTGAGGCTTTGGGCTGTTGGAAGCACAGCTGATCCCATCCTTTGCTCTGTGCTCCCACCGAAAAGGAGCTTGTTGAAATTCATGCTGATAAAGCTGAGCTTTTCCTGCTTTCTTTCCAGCCATTGTCAGCACTGTTTTCACGCAGAGCCAGCAAAGCTATTAAACCCCTGAGCCCCCACAATTAAAGAGGATTAATTAGGATTTTCAATCTTCGGTCTTCGTTCTTGGTGCAGCACAGTGAGGTGGCAGTGCTCAGTGTGTGAGGGAGGTCACTAACGTGGCACGTAAACGTGGTTGTGTTTGGCTTCATGCAAAAAGCCCCTTTGTTGCTGTTTGTTTGCAACGCACCGCAGATCTTCTGGGAAAACCAAGAGAGAAACACCCTTATTTTCCAAAATCCTGTGTGGACAGACTAAGATTTCAGTCCCAAACACTGCGCTGCCATCGCTTTTATCAGCTCTGAGAATCTTGTTGTGTCAGTGTTGCTGGTTTTCAATCTCTCCTGTGAATCTGATTTCTCCTCGGGTAGAAATCCTTTTGTTTCTGGTCCTGGGCTCCAGCAGGAACTTTCCCATTGTGTTTACCCTGAATGGGCACCTTGTGTTCCCAGGCAGTTCAGAAACACCTCTCCCTTGATTTCTCATGGATAGATGACACCGTTTGGGTCTGACTCTGAATGCGTAGCACAGCGAGCTCTCTGTCTCTGTGTAATGTGAGAGAGTGGGGCTTTATACCCCGGGCCTGCAGTGGAATCAAAAATAAGATAGCTGGGAGCGTGATCATTATCCTTTGGAGCAGCGACTTGAGGAGAGACGCCACGTCTCTTCCCTTCTCTGTGCTCCAGCACTGGAGGAACTTTTCCACACCCCACAGAGCGTTTGCATCCCGAAGCACAATGTCAGAAAATCCAAACGGAGCTCCCAGGGCAGAACCAGGTACGTAGCATTGCTTTTGTGGGCAGGAGCAGCTCTTCTTCTGTGCTCTTTGGTGATGGCTGAGGTCCTTCTTCAGGCGTTCAGCTGTTTGTTCCAGGTCTGGCTTTGTGCTGGCGACTGTTGGGTGCTAAAGAGCTGGGCTATCAAAGCTTATTCTGGGGTAAAGATTCCTTAACTGAGACTGGCAGAAAGCCTCCAGTTTTGCACAGTGGTTGCAGTTAAAGCACTGCTGTCACATACATGTGTGACCCCGTAAGCTTTGCTGCTTTTAGTTCTCCTAAGCCAAAATCACTTCTTGTTCTTCTCATGACCTGTGTTTTGTGCTGGGCAGGTGCTGCCTGAGAGAGAATCACTGCTGTTGTCTCATAGTTACAGAGCTGATGCTTGAAACTGAAGAATCCTCCAGGAGCTCTGAGCATCTCTTTCAGCTCTTTGACTTTCTGAAACCTGTTGGTTTCTGTTTGCTGGCAATGAATCAGCCTGCTGCTGCAGGAATGGGATGGGAATCTCAGAGTGCTCCCATAAGGGGAGCGTGGCAGTTGTTCCTCATACAGCAGTTACAGGGATGAGGATTGGAGCCCTCCTCCCCCATCTCCCTGCTGCTTATCGAGGGAAGTTCAGCAGATGGTGGGATTTAGAGCTGCTTAGCTGGATTGGATGAAGGCTCTGTGCTGCATTATTAGCTCCTCTTAGTCAGAGAGAAGCCACCCAGGTGTATCCCCAGCAGTTATTGAAGATATTGAAGAAAAATGCAAAGGATTTTACTTGTTTCCAAATGGGAATCTGTGATGTGAAGGATAGAGCCTCACAAGCAAGGAGGAAGGGAAAGGAGGAGCACTCAAAGCGCTCAGGCTTCCATCCCTGTCACCTCTGAGCTCCATCATCTCCGCTCTGCTTGCTTGCCAGTTGTTCCAATGGGGTTTTTCTCATCCTCTAAGCTTTGTCTTCAGGCTTAGGATTTAATTAGTCCCATCTCTCTGTGGCAATTATGTCTGCTTTGAGCTGGCATCTGCAGCAGTCTCTTCCGTTCCCTGCCTCACACCCCTCGTGTTGGTTGCTCACTTTGTGTTAAATTCCAGTTCCTGTGATTTATTGAGAAAACCTGGAGCGTCTCAAACAGTCAGATTGAAGCAGGCATTTAATGTTAGAGCTCTGTCTCCAAAAAAGCTTAGAGCGTGGTGTAGCTCAGCCTCGTTCTGCAGGGATCTGCAAAGTAACTGAGGCCGTGCCTTGCCCTGCTATGTGCAAGAGCTGGGAATGGGTTTGAGATGTGTTGAACCTCTTCTGTTCTGTTTTTGAAGATTACAGGTACAGAAAGGACGAGCTGTTCAAAAGGCTGAAAGTGACAACTTTTGCCCAATTGGTAAGTGTGGATCTTCTCTGTCCTGCTCATTGTCCTTGCTTTACCCACAGCCTTCCCTGTGGTTATGTAGCCTCAAACAATGGGTAATTCTTTTCTCATGGGGCTCTTCTACAGCTTCTTTCCCTGCTTTGTCCTGAAGCAGTGTGTTCTTCCTTTTTGGTACGATTTTTGTTTAATAAATGGCTCCAGCACTGCGAATCTCTCTCAAATATACATCTGTATTTGATCCCTAAGCCCAGTGGAAATTATGCTGGGTTAAAGATACGTTGGCTTGAGGATTATTTTTCCTTAAGGTGATCCCTGCTGTCTTTCACTGATAGCTGTGTATGTGTATCAAGGCTTTGTGGCTTGCTTTTGTTCCCTGCAGGTCGTTCAGGTTGCTTCTCTGTCTGATGAAACCTTAGAAGTGACGAATGAGGAGATCCACAGACTGGAAGGTAACAATATTTATTGTGAGCACAAAGAAATGGAGCTGTAGATCGCTGTCATACCTTGAACTGCGCCCTAGCAGGCATAGCAAGCCCTTAACCAGGGGAAAATAGCCCCTCCTGCAGCCATTCTGCTCTGGGATGCATAACTCCTAAAGCAGAAATGCTCTCAAGAAGGAAAGTCATCACACTGAGAAGTTTTGGTGCAGTAACTCTATATCACAAACAGCAAGAGTGAGATGAGCTGTCACATTTCTGCTCAATTCCTGAGAAGGAGATCTTCAGCTTTCAGAAATCACGTGGCTCTTTCTCCTTTTTGATGTGGGGCTCTCAGTAAATCGTCCTTGTAAGAGAATGAGGATGTGGCTGTTGCTGAGATGCGCTTTCTTTCATCAAATAGAGCCTGGGATCAAAACCTGCTCATCCATTTCCTGCAACACTTTAATCTTTCTGCCCCGCTCTCTCCCCAGATGGCAATTCTGCTGCTTCAGATGCCGAGCTCACAGCGGGGACAAATGGCCAAGGGAGCCCCAATGGGACACCCCCCAGCCCTGTCCTGTTCATAAACAGCACCGGAGGTGGAGAATCGTATCGGTCCACGCTGCAGAGGTGCCTGATAACAACACAAAACCCCCTTTTTCTCGTGGCAGAAAACTGTTTTCTTAGCAGCTGTTAAAACATAAATGAGCTGTCGGGAAAACTGGGAGGGGGGGAAAAAGCAGCTTCTCGTGGTTGAGAATTGTTCAGAGGGAGCACTGACAGCATAACGTCTGCTTTCCTCTTGCAGTCTGATCAGTGGTGTCGGTGAGTTGGACATAGAAAAGGACACTCCTAAGAAAGCAGACACCCAGGCAAAGGATACTCCTTATCCTGACTGCCCCTTCCTGCTGTTGGATGTACGAGAACGCGATGCTTACGACCAGTGTCACATAATTGGAGGTGAGGAGCCTGGAATCCCAGCCTGCTGTCAGCTGAAGGCTTGCGTGTTGTTCTGGGGGGCTTTGCTTGGATGCTCTCTGCACTCATCCACACATCCATCCTCCCTGGCAAGGGATGAGGGAATGGGGCTGATATTAATCCCTTATTCACCGAGTTTCCAATCTGGTTTTCGTATCTATTACTCTTACAGCCCTGTGTCAGCTGTGTTGCAGGTTGTGATGTTGGTGTTCAGCCACCGTCTGATTTCTTTTTTTTCTTTCCTTCCTCTGCAGCTTATTCTTATCCTATTACAATGCTGTCTAGAGCCATGAATCCATATACAAACAGTATTCTGGAATATGTATCCTTTATATATGTAGTGTGGAATCAACAGCAGTGAGAAAAACCAACTGATAACACGTTGGCAAAGGGCTTCTAAAACCAATTCCAAAAGCAATTCTTCTGACCAGGACAATGTTTAGCCACCAAAATCCTGGGATTCCAAGGATGGCAGGAGGGAAACTCCTCTCTGCAGGCTTTGATTACTTGGTGGGGCTCTGCTGCAGCCTTCAGATGCTGAGTTCTAGTTCCTTAAAGCAGAAACCTCTTGGTTTCAGTGGGAGCTGTGTGAATCTGGTGTTTCCTGGGATTGGACTTGCCTTCAAGCAGCCACAGTTGTATCCCTTGGGCAGCTGTCTCGCTGTTGCTCGATCACTGGGCTTCAAATCCAATCCTTTGGCTTCCTCCCAGCACCTTGATGAGGATTGTCTTTTCTCAGGAGGACAAAAAGAGGATTATTAGCTGGGATTAGGCTGATCATTTCCCAAGTTGTTAATGTGGGAGGGCCGCAGGGGAGAGGGGAGGTTGTAAACAAATTGTTTCTGACTGGTAGTTGCTAACCAGTCTTTGGATCAGTGGTGAGATATATGCTCACAGAGGGGATCAGGCTGTGCCCTTCCAGTGCCTGGCAAGCTTCAGCTGCTGAGAAATCAGATTTAGAAACACTGAGTGGAAGGCTTTCCTACCCAATAGTTGGAAATCACACAGGGAGTTTATCTCCAGCTTCATTCTGAAACGTATTAGGTCTCAATCAACAGTTGGACAGGATCATCTTGGAGTTCTCTTCCAACCTTGGTCTATGATTCTATGCTTTTAAGTCCCCTCAAACTGACAAATACACCCTTAGCTCTTCCACCCATCAGAAAAATGCCCATGGAAAGATTATAATTTTGTACGACGACGACGAACGGCTCGCCAGCCAGGCTGCCACCACCATGTGTGAGAGGGGCTTTGAGAACTTGTTCATGTTGTCTGGAGGTCAGTGGGGACGGGCAGGACAGCGGGGGGAGCGGGCTCAGTATATCCCAAATGGGCTCCATAGGACCCAAGTGGGCTCAGTGGGTTTTGGGTGAGCTGGAGGGTGGGAAAGGGATGGTTGGATTCTGTCCTGTGATGGCAAAATCGCTGCTCCCATGTTGGATGGTGCTCATTAACAACACGTGGGCTGTACGTCTCCAGGGCTGAAGGTGCTTGCACAGAAGGTCCCAGAAGGACTCGTCACTGGCTCGCTCCCCATCTCCTGCCAGGTGGCAGCTCCCCCAGGGTCTGCCCAAAGAAAGGCTGTTCCCAAAGTGCCACCTGCACGTGCTGAGAGCAAATGGAGGTACTCAGCAGAAGATCTGCAGAAGATTAAGTACTACCTCGAAGAGGAGCAGCTTCCTTCAGACACTGCCAGTAAGAATCCAAGACAGATGCCACGCAGCTTTCTCCTGCTTTGCTGTATTCTTGCAGCGAGATGGCTGGGAAAGGGGAGAGGTTTATTTTCAAACTGTGCTGTTCCCAAAGAACTGGAATCTTGTATGGCTGCATGATCCTGGTTCTGCTGGGGCAGGCGTGCACCGTGCTGCCCGCTGTGTTTGAATGCCTTTGGGTTTTCTTGGTGGTGAGCTGGTTTTGCAAGTTCTTAAGAACAAAAAAAGTCTGATTGAAACTGTCCAGGAATTACTGAAGAGTCTATAAGATTAGAGTTAGGACAGTGACAAGGGGCAGCAAACCATTGGTACATCATCGTTCTCCATCCCGCAGCTTCAACTTGTGTTTCCAATCCTTCTCCTTCAGGTCGCCTTAGCCGTGGCTCTTCAGGACGCGATTCCAAAGCAACGACAGCACGGAGCAGCCCCAGCCTCCCCAGCACGGCAGGATCCCGCGTGCTCAGCAGGAGCAGCTTCCAGAACAGGCCGTGGAAATAAGCAGCCGTCTCTCCTTCCACTGAATAAATGAGAGTCCAGGTTCTGGGAACGCTGAGCAGTGCAGCCCTGTTTGTCATTTTAGGAATCCGCTGTGGAAAGCGGTGGTGATGTATGAAATGGCAGCTTGGATAAGGCTGGGGAGATGGAAGGGTTGATGTGACGTCTTGTAGGAGCAGCGTCACGTTGGCAAAGTGACCTTCAGGACAGGGGAGGGGGGAAAACTGGTAGTGAAGCCCGTGACCAAGTAGCAATGGATCTGTAAGACCTGCAGCTCAGACTGAGGAATTGTGTCTGGAGCAAACGTTCCTCTGTGCCCGGCTCAAAGCTGCAGGCTCTGTGCTAACGGTGAAAGGAAACGGGTCAGAAAATTGTGAGCAGGAACCGTGGTGTTTTGTGGCAGGGATGGATGTTGAGCAAATTGCCAAAATGGTGGAGAGGATTCTGTCACTCTCTTGTGTTTATTTATTAAGTGTTTGTAATAAAGATGTTCTGGGAAATAACGACCGGCGTGGCGCAGAGGCATGATAGCTGTCTTTAATTATGGATGATTTATGAGATGGCTCTGTTTTTCTGGAGGTGAGTCAGAGGGATTGAAGTTTATTCCTATGTATACCCTTCCCAATGTGTTTTGGAGTGGGTTTGTTTGAGATGAGGGTGGCTGAAGGGGGAGATATCTTCTTCTCTCCTTTCATCAGAGTCCTGAAAATGATCCTAAAAGTGAATCTGGTAACTGAACAGGATGTGGAGATTTCATGAAAGCTTTCATCTCATCAGTGCTCGCACTGTGCCAATGCTGGCTGGAGTATCTGAGCTACTCTGAAATTCAGTCAGTGACGAAGCAGAGGCAGGGTGTGGAAATCACAACCAGCTTTACCTACGTTGTATCCCTGTGAAAGAAAGGAAGAGGTATAATGAGCAGCTTTTGTGCCTCTGGACTGCTCTGTTCAGCCACTCGTTGTAGTATCAAATACGGGAGGAGGAGCACCAAACTTAGCCCCGAGTCTTACATCAGAAATGCTCACTGCAGTGATGTTTCTGCAGCCAGCAACTGGAAAGCTCATCCTGATCACCTCCTGGCCTGCACCTCCAGAGGAAGCGTGTAAGGATGTGCTGAAGTGTGTAGTGCAAGGCCTGGTCACGTATTGACACACAAATAAAAAGTACAGCAGGGCTGTGTCTTATTTCTGTCCATTGGCATGAAGAGGGAAAGTGGGATATCCACCTTGGGTAGGACATGGAAATGAGCACTGGGATTTGATGGGGCTGACTCCCATGCGTCTTTCAATCTCCATGTCCTGAGCTGTCTGCCTCTTTCTGTTCTGTATGGTACCTCCACTTCCATGTCCCTGTGAAATAAAAGTATTGAACCAACTGCCATCTCCAGCTGGCTTCAGATGGTGGCTTGCCTGGTTTGGTTGGCTGGTTAGTACCATTTCTAGGGCAATAAGTGAAGCTGAGTGTGAACATGAGAGCATCAGGAGATTATTTATGTTCCTCCTGGTCCAGCAGTGTGGGGGTAGAGGAATTATTTCACCCTGACAAGCACGAGGAGGTGATGGTGTTACAGATGCATCCAGCTGAAAGCGATGAGAGTGAGGGTTGTGTGTGCTGCCTTAAATCAAGTCCTGATTTTGTTGTCCAGTGGTTCGAGAAGGAGCTGAAAACCTGCTTTGATCTGCATGAAAACCTTCCAAAACGGGGGGAGAAAACTGTGCTGTTTAAGATCCTTCAAATCGAGGGCAACAAATGCACTCTCTGATCACCTTGATGAGTTTCTGTGGATGGTTGGGTTTTGGTGGGTGTTTTTTTTTTTTTTTGGACTTTTGACTTGGTATTGTTTGGAAAGAAAGAATAAACTCAGTAGAGTCTGGAAGTTTCAATAGGTCAACGCACACTATGTTGGCTATCAACTGGATCACGTTGTGTTTGGAAGGAAGGAAACACCACCCAAACCATCCTTTTTTAACTTTTTTTCTCACTTATTTATTGCATTCTTCTCCCCAGTCAACTCGACCACCACTCAGCTCCAGATCCTGCTCAGTAGAGGTGATTCCGTGCATGTGCCATGATGACCTCCAGAGCTTTCCACGTCTCCTGGGCAGTGGGGACAATCTGGCTGGCAGGCAGCAGGAACCCGTAGCGTCCCGTGTCCCGGAGCTCGAAGGTGAAGGAGTACTTAATGCCTTGATTGTAGGTCCAGTCGATGGTTCCTCCGCTTGCTTGATCTTGGTGAGAAAAGAGCAGAACTTTGCTCTCTCTACGTCTCATGGTAGGACATGAGGAGGAGTGATTTTGGTTTCACTGGGAGGAGAACAACCTCCGTTACTTACAGATGGTGGTGATGATGCTGCCATACTCGTAATTCGTGCCGTACAGAGAGGACAGAGCTTCCACAGCTTCCTTTGCGACCTGGTGCTGGGGGGAAGACACACAAATGTGATTTGGGGTAGGGGAAAGTCTGTGGTAGAATGGAGAGAAAAAAAAAAAAGGCTTTTACACTCATCCTACTGTCAAAAAACAGTAGGCAACACTCAGTAGCGTTGGCCTCAAGGAGTCCCTATGGGGGGGGGGGGGGGGGGGGTCTTCTTTCCTGCTTGCATGGGGTGCAGTGTGGGCATTTCACAGTGTCCCCTAAATAGGTCCTACCAGTTCTTCCTTGTCAGGCACGGCAGTGCTGGTGTAGCCATAGGGGTAGAGCAGAAGCTGGGAGTAGCTGTGGATGGAGATGAAAGCTTTGATGTTCCCATGGTCCTTCACAAAGTCCACGATGGCCTTCACCTCTGGCTCCGAGTTGGCGTAGGGCCCACGGTACGTCTCTGAGCAGGAGCTGCCGCTGGACCCAGAGCCTGGGGAGAAGAGAATGGTGAAAATATGGCATTTGTTGGCATCTAGGTGGCTTAGAGAGTCAGAAAAGATCAAGGAGGAATGCTTCTGGGGCTCCACATAAACATTGTGTGATAGTTTCCAATGGTGGTCTCTACCATATTGGTCACTAGGGGACATCAAAGACCTGATGGAACCAAAACCCGCGTCTTAGCCCAAAAGTCCATCCCTTCCTTGAGGACACAAAAGACCTGATGGAACCCAAATTCATGCTTCGACCACAAAGCCCATCTCTTTTCTGATGACACAAAAGACCTGATGGAATGCAAATCCATGCCTTGAACCCAAAGCCCATCCCTTTCCTGGGGCCACCAGTGGATCTCTCTGAGCCAGAAACATCAGAGCCTTCACTTGGAGGGCAGAACACAATCTGTCAGGTGAAAGGGAGAGTTCTGACCTCCAAATCCTGCGTCCCAGTTGCGGTTGGGGTCAACGCCAACGCAGAGAGATCCAGAATGCTTGGACCTGGTCTTGCGCCACATACGATTCTGGAAGGGAAGAACCAACTCAACCAGAATCCAGGGCTGGAGCACCTCCAGCCTCAAGCAGAGAAGCAAAAGCATTTCGGGGGACACAGATGGGTCATGGATGTCCCCTTTTTAACTGACAGATGTGTGGATAGAGAGGCTTTGAGCTCTCGGGGGCTGTGCAGTGCCCACATCCAGCTCCCCAGCTCCAACCAACAGCAGATGAGATGAATGCCAGCACCGTACCGAGGTGTGGGTGAAGACAAAGCCGTCAGGGTTGGTGACAATCTCCAGGAAGATGTCCATCTGGTCCAGGATGTTGGCCAGACCTTCATCTTGCTCTTCAACAATCTAGAGAGGATAGTGATTTGGGGCTGGCTGGAGCACCATTGGGGTGATCACACCGTGCTCAAGGTGTCTACAGGACCTTGTAGGCTTTGGAGATGTAAGATCTGCCCATACCTTCTTGGCAAACCAAACGCCGCTTGCTTGTGTCACCCATTCACGGGAGTGGATGCCAGTGTCAATCCAAATGGCCGGGCGATTCGTGCCACCTTTACTGAACTGGAATTGCAAAAATGGGGCAATTGGGACCGCAGGAGGACCAACTCATGAACCTGATTGCTTCAAAGGCCCCAAATCCCATACCTTCAACACATAGATGGGACGGTTCTCTGTTGTATGGCCAATCTCCAGCTTGCTGACCAGGTTTGGGTTTTCAGCCACCAGTAGGTCCATGAAGGCATAGATCTGGTTTTGGGAGAGGGACGTAGGGGATCATGAATGTGTAGACGAATTAGTAGGCGTGGTTCTTGGGGACATAGTTTAGTGGGCACTATTGGTGGTAGGTGGATGGTTGGACTTGATGATCTGAGAGGTCTTCCTCAACTTTAACTGTTCTGTGATTTTATTTAAGGACATGGTTTAGTGGGCATGGTGCTGATTGATTGGTGGTTGGACTGGATAATCTTAAATGTCTTTTCTAACCTTAATGAATCTATGACTCTATGAATGGCTCATTAATTCCTTAATTTAGAACAAACCCCTTCGCAAAAGCAATTCCAAAATGTGGGTTTTTTTTCCCCCCAAAATGCCCCAAATCTTGAGCTTCCCCCATGCAGAATATCACCTCGTCCAGGGTGTGATAGCTGGTGTAATCGAAGGTACTGGTGGAGAATGGCACGAAACGGCGGCGACGAAGCATCTGCATCTGTTCAAGGTCCACCAGTGCCTGTGGGATGTGGGGGAAGATGAAACCTCGTCCCTCACCAGCCCGTGACTCCCACTCACCACTCACACCAGCACCACCGACCTGCACATCCTCAATCATGATGGAGTAGGGGACACCGTTGGCCTCCAGGTGGGCTTTGATGGGCTGCAGGCTACGGAAGGGCACACGGATGTCAATCGGGTTCCCAAGGCCACGGGGTGAAAGCCAGAAATCCAGCTGGATTGGGGAGAAAATGGGATGAGGGTCAGATCCTGCCTTAGACTGTGCCTCCGCCTCCCCCTTCTGTTTTTCTCTACGTAGCACACTATGGGTTATGTTCTCCACCTCTACTACACTATGGGACATCATCTTCCTACCCCACCATGGGACATCATCCTCTCCAGCAATAGGAAATCGTCCCACCAGCCGCTCCTCTGCAAGACATCATTCCTCATACCCTACTATGGGACATCATCTCCTCTCAAGTCCACTAAGGACAATCATCCCCCCTTTATCCCACTATGGGACATCATACCCCTTACCTCACAGTGGATCTCCCCAAATGAGACATCATCACTCCTTTCCCCACCGTGGGACACGGTCCTCCCCCAACCCCAGCAATGGGACATCCCTGCTCTGCACCGTAGCTCAGGGGTGCAAAGTAGAAGACTGGGAAGAGGTCCCTAAAAGCTCCCCCTCTCTCCCATCCCATACCTGCAGGTGCTCCAGCTCCTGCAGCTCCTGCACCTTCTGCAACTCGGCATCGCTGCTGGGGACAATGCGTAGCACCTGGTGCCTGTGGGGTCAGAGGGTGTTGTGGGGTTCAGCACAGCCATCACGCCATCCATCCCACACACTGCTGTCCTTGTCAAATAGGGGCTGAACCAGCTGCTGTCCCCCATCCCAGTCAGCGCCCCCATCCCAGCCAATGTCCCCAACCA